CGATGTCTGACACAGGGTAAACAGAGTGATAGAAAAAGAGACAGAAATAGTGAAAGACAGTGGATATGACATATTCTGTACTGGGTCATTTTAATTGGTTAAAAGGAGCTTAGATATATAAAAAAACAGATTTAAACTCATTAAGCATGAATAACTGCACAAATGTTTAACAACCAAGCAATTTGTAATTTCTCACCTCTGCATTGCTCTCTGACTCTGTCAAACTCATACCCCTCTGTGCACTGTAAAGGACAAACAATGATTACCATGAAATGATACATATCTTAGTGCCAATTCATGTAACATCATACAATAAACAAAATCATGGCGTTGTTCGTCTCCAAATGAAGGTATACACAGCACCTCAAACAGGCCAGCTTGTATCCACCCACGGACAAAACAATTATCTGGTTAAAAAAATGAAATAAAAAATCTCTCACTTACTGTGTAGAAGATGGGCTCCTCAACCTCCTGAGAGAGGACATGTGTGAAAACCGCACAGAGACACACGCAGATCCCCAGCATATCGACCAAACGTCGGAGCAGCTCACTGTAACGAGATGCAGTGCGACCAAATGGATAGAGCGTGCAAGATCATTTTTCGCTTGACAAGCCCTACATGTTTTAATACCAGTTATTACATCATTGATGGCATTGCTTAACGAGTCCCAACATCTCCCGCTGCTGGCGTGATGTTTATGTTGGCACCACTCCAGCTAAATCTGCGACTTCAACTAAGTGAAGTGTTTTTCTGCTGTTTTTTCTCCAAAAGGATTAGTGCGTAATACGCGTAAAGATCGTGCGTAAACATGCCCTTGTGTGTCAGTCAAGTGTCAAGGAAAATGAACTTGTTAATCAGCCGTGCAGAGCTCGTGTTGATTAAAATTCTGCATTTGCGCAAAAACATGTCCAACTTAACCAATCAAATAGTATCTACGTTTCCTTGTCTTCTTTAAAGATACTGACACTTGTTACCGGGCATTTCCCTGAAACAAGCGACCTACATCTGAAACAAGTGCTACGGCAGATTCTTTCTTTTTTTTTGTCTCACTTGTTTCAACATTCAGACTCCGTGAACAGCTCCTCGGTTTGTTGCTTTTATTGTTATCTGATCAGAGCGCTGTGTGCAATAGCTTTGTCATCCTGTGGCGCCTTGGGGACGTACCTGCAATTAACCTGCGGATCTCCAACTCTCCTGGCGTGCAGAATGAAACTCCCCCGGTTCGTGTTTTGTTGCAAAATCCCGAGCGTGTGCGCAGTAGCAGGCTGGTCTTTATTCTGCAAACGGTGCGGTGGATGTTAAATGCTTGTCTGAGTGCAGGCAGCACTTGTAATGAACATGCGGCTCGTACAGTATGACATGCTGGGGGCGGTGTACCGGGCAGGTTGAGCTCCGGGTTTGTCTCTCACCGGGGTGCAGTAAACTGTCAGCAGGCTACAGTGGCTCCCTCTATAGACTGATGAGTAGTGATAAAAAAGGTAATCACCAGAAGGAACGGCTATCAATTGAAAAAGCTTAGAAATAATATATTATTATAATACTTACTGATTATATTGCTGCACAAATAAACACCAAATTTCCATCAGGCTAATAAACCGAGTTAAGTTTCCATTGTATCGCTGCTTTGGGAAACATGCAGTTAAGCCTAGAATTTATTGATGTCATTACACAAATTATAGATTGATCAGTTAAGCTTCCATAAAATCTGTGTCCCCCTTTTTGTAGCACTGTTCTTTTAACACTCCCATAGAGAGTTTGAAGGGATATTGTCCTTATTTTTTTATAAATAAGATTTCAATTGTTGTGTTGGAGAAAGTCTGGAGCCATTTCATTTTTATAGGCCTGCACCATTTCTGTATGTTATTTTAAGGACGAGCCTCCATCATACAGACCCTGTCATGCTGTGAGGGACTTCAGAGTCTGTACATGTATGTACACTGTGTGTGTGTGTGTGTGTGTGTGTGTGTGTGTGCGCGCGCGCGCAGCAGGTGGTAAAATCAAATCACGTGTTGAAGACCTCTGTCAGCAAGCACTACATTAGCCTCTAATACATTTCATGGTGTTTACAAGATGCCTGCGCTTCAGGAACATCTGCTGAAATTGGCATAGCTTCCTGGATTTCCCATGGGTGAGGAGACAGCAAGTGATTGTGTGTTTTTGTGTTCATAAGCATGTGTGTGTGCCAACAGCTTGCTGATATGAGTGGATAGAGATGGACTTGGCACCAGCTCCTTTAATGCTGACCTTCTGACCTTTCACAGGATGAGAGGATTGCAGATAGATTCTGCATGGTGCCATATCCTGTAGGTGCAAAGTCAAACGCAAACTTTTCCTGGCAAGAGCAGATTATTCTCTTCCAACACACAAATCCAGCGTTTAATCTTTAATGTGAATATTTAACTTGTAATCAGTAAGAGTTTACCAGGTTAAACACATTAAAACTAGGAATTTCATAGAGTTCTGATCCTTCATTGTATTGATATTCACATCTGCTCACATAACTGAATCAACCAATACAGAATTCGGCACAGGAATAAACATTAGAAATATATGCAAATAAATAACTGTACAAACACAGATTACCTAAACAATAACTGCAGAAGGCTTGACTCTTTTCAAAAAGTTTATTTGACTTGGCAAGCTATTCAACAGATGCACAAAAAAAAGGCAGAGACGTTTAGATAAAGCGCTTGATTAATCAAAGCCGTTTTGAAACAGTTTGTAGAGATTAATAGAAGATTTTATCCAAGACTGATGAAAGAGGGGATGAGACAACATTCCCCCTGGTCTTATTCCTCGCTGGAACCAAATGAGACAGTCTGCTTGCAAATCACAGAGGCGAGGCAGAGGTGGGTGTGTCCCCCGGGGAGCACCTCTAGGTGTGAGAAAGTCTCTGCAGAAATTTTACCCTAGTCAAAGCAGATAATCCTTTTCAAACTGATGTTACAAGAGCCCTGGTCTGACTGATGCAGTACATTTGGATATCTGTGCAAAAATGCATTAGAATGCATTTAAACAGAAAAGCTGGCCTGCAAGAAAAACGCACTAATATATGACCTGAAAAGACCCAGGTGTCCCATTTGGACTTAAGTGAACAAGTGGGGAACATAATACACCAGATAGCATGGACATACATTTAAATGTAAAAGTGATAGATTGAGTCTTAGCTTAACTTAAGTACCGCTTTGAGTTTCACAACATCTCTGTGATCATTATTACCTAATCCCCCGGCCAACAATGCACGTGTACACAGTCACACATTCTAGGGTAACCACGTGGCAAATGTGTAAAGTATATTGCTGAGAATCTGGCCATTATCACTGTTTAACAATACAAATCCATAATGTATGCACAAAGGGCAAATAGACTAATAAAGCACATTTTTCTGAGCATTAAAAAAAAGAGCCAGCACTTTGTGACGTTTCTTTCGATGCTGAAGGCAATGCATCAGGTACTGTTGGCTATTGAGCATCAGCCAATCAGTTCCTGATGCAGTATCATCCACATCAGAAAGCTCTTCCTTCACCCCAATATCAGTGCAGGGGCAACCAAAGCTGAGTACTTTACAACACATTTGGTTCTTCTGCAATATGCCCTAATGGTGAGAGAAGTGATATAAAAATAACCAAAACAAGCCATTATTATTCTTTTCATCCTATGATAATACAATAGCCAATACTGTACAGTACACATCATTGTAAGTCAAGATGGCAGCAGAAGCATCTGGAAAGTGAATTCATGCTAATTCAAAATGGGCATGCATTATGAAAGAGCTGCAAGAGATGAGGCTGCACTTCAAAAGACTGTCGAAAAGAAATTTTTTAAAAGTGGGGAAGGGGGATGTGAGAGAAGGAAGAGCAGACAGAGAGGGTGTCTGTGAAACGCGTTTGTGTAATTGCAGTGACATCTTCATTGAGAGCCCTCCATCTCTTTCCTGTGTGCTCCAAAGGGCGTCGCTGACGCCGGTCGATGGGGAGAACAGCCGAGGCGCTGTGTTTAGCATAATCCCAGAGGCCATTGTGAGAGCAGCTAGTGAACGACTCACAGTTGCCAGCTGAGATTTCACCAAAACACAGCAGAACGCAAGGAGAAGGGGATGAGATAGGAAAATCAGAAGTGGAGGAGGGGTAAGAGTGGGGAAGGAGCTCAGGCGACAGGAGGACTGGTAGTAGTAATGAAGAAAAAAAATGCAGATGTGTCAGATATTATATTACAGGGAGTAATATATATATATATATATATATATATATATATATATATATATATATATATACATACATATACACACACAGTAGGCCTTGAGTTGTGGGGTGGGGGCTGACAGGAGGGTTGTAGGATCTCGGTGGTATTGGTTATCTGTGGCGAGTGAGCAGCTTGCACGGCATCAAAGAGGCAGAGTATAAAGTGTGAAACACGTTTTCTTCCAGGTGGACTGCACCTGTTGGCCCTTATTCAGGGCTGTAATTCAATAATCTCCCCCTTTTTCTTCTTTTAAACAGTCACTAACTGTTTTGACTTGTAACAGTGAGGCATAAAAAGATTAAGCAAAAGTGTCCCATGGCAACATTACCTCTATTGTGCAACGATCATTACCTTAAGCTAGAGTGTGAAATCCTCTTTGATCACCATTCCATATAGACTGACGTTTTTTGAGCCAACCTTTAGTAAACAATTTGGTCTCCTCCTAACATGTTGCAGAAAATGATGAATGATGATTTCTGTGGTTTTACGATACCGAGAACGGAGATTAAATAAAGACACAGTTTAGGGAGTTTTTTTTAAAGGCATATTAGACAAACTGCAGAATCTCTCCAGGTGATTGTGAGAATATAAAACACCATCACAGTTGCCTGCAGAGATTACCCAGTCAGCCCAACACACACACACAAACACACACACACGCATGCTGTTCTGTGGTGGGTATGTGTAATATCCGTAAGAGTCAATTGGCAGCAGACGGTTAACACTGATCGGGATAAAGACCCAGCTTTGACCCCCCCCCCAACCTTTCCAAAAAGGTCCTGTGTTACCATGGTGACAAGGCCAAGGCACGTGCCTCCCATTGTTGAGCTGTATCCTCCAGGGTCAGCCGCACACCCAGTCAGAGGTCAAATGTCACCCAGGCCTCTCACTTAGGTCACCACTCGCCAGCCTTCAGCCTTTGACCCCAACAAACAGAGAGATAGGGGGAGAGAGGGGAGGACAAGATGGCCGAATTAAACATATTTACTCAACAATTCTCCATGATAACAAGACTGTTTAGGATATTCTGATAAATGTGTGTATTTGTTGTGCTTCAGGCCTTTTGAGTGCAGAGTAGCAGTGCAGTCCTGTGTGGGCAATGTACAGTGTGGTGGAGAGAATCACTCTGCATGTTACAGTATGTCTCCCTCTTGTGGTGAAATATGATGCTTTGAAAATGTCACATTTTATGTGGAATTCAAAGTGGCGCACAAAAATGAAGAATATGGGACATCCTGGTGGCCCTGTGGTTAAGACTTATAATACATACAACCACAACAAGTCCGGTTTGATTCAAGTCCTTCAACTTTCTTAATCTTTCTTGTCTACATCTGAACTGTAATTTATAATAAAAAAGGACCAAATAACAAAACATAGGCCACATTTATACTGAGATTTGTTGCACTGATGGTCTAAAAGTAGTTTTCTCATGTTTTTGACATGTAACTTAATGCTGGATTTACACAAAAAACATACTTTTACATATAATAGGTCCACATATTCATCGTGCTCATGCGTACATCCAGCTGAAAAGACCTCTTAACCCAACCTGATTATACTTAATTAACAAAACAATATCAGCTATTGGAGTTTAACTGACCAAATCAGACATATGTCCACACATTTTGGAAAGTCTTTTGCCAGAGGTGCCATCTTTTCCATTGAGCCTCAATGCATTTCGGGATATTCAGGTCATCGAGTTGCAAAGTGTTGCTCAGGCGTTGACAAAAGAAAAATCTTAAGTTTATTAAACGGAACAGGCTGACAGTCCACACTTTGTTAGGCAGTGAATGAACAGAGTGGTTTTGACAGGCCTAACCTCTTAAGCTTCGGGTCCCACTGAGCTCGGCACAGCTAGAGCTAAATGCCATCTGTCCCAACATCATGAGGCCCCCCCAACCTGTCCCCCAACAGTTTAGCATAAAAATCATGCAATACTGCTATTAATGAAGAATAGAAGATAATTCTACTCATCTGATAGCAAGTCCCTAAACTAAAAATAATACTTCGTCTTCAGTAAAGGCTTACTTTCGAGTAAGATATTTTAAAGCTGACCAGATTAAATGCTATGCAAACAATAGCTGTGCTTGTAATCCACATCATTTGGTTTTCAAAAGGAAACATGCAAGGTGTGTGCACTATGGGTAATCAGAAAATCGCATTCTTTGAAGACTTTAATTGAAGTTGCTGTGAATGTTTATTTATTTTAGGTTTAATTACCTAAAAAAAAAAATAATTCTTATGTTGTACCTCTCTTTCTGCCTACACCTGTAACCTGGGTCTTGGGCGTTTACGGGCCCTGATGTATGGTTACACTTGAAAATAAAGAACAGTCAAAGCACTGAAAACGAAGTGAGAAAAAGCTGAGAAGGAAGAAAGATAATCTAAGCTGGTGACCCTTTAATAGAGTTATTTTTTTAATAATAATGCTAGTCAAACTCTTTTACCAATAGTGGCTTTAATAAAAAGGAGCTAGCACAGAGTTTCAGCCTTACGTTGGGAAAGTCAAGCTCCTGCTGCACACTAGTCTGACACTGACAACCTATTCAAACTACAAACATTGTTTTCTTCAGTTAGTCTCTCACTGTGACTCGTCAATGGCCATTTCAAATTCGTTTTTCAACCAATTCGTTTTTTACGCTTTACTGACTTCCACATACAGCACTGAACAATAAAATAATGATATCACCATATGAACTTTGGTCTCCATCTTTTCACAATGTTGTCTGCTCCGTTAGCTGTCATCTAATGTTAAGAGCAAAGAACGACCTCTGTGCCCAGTAGCCAATGTGTGTTCTTCAGCACTTAATTAAAGCTCTGGACCTTCAATGTACAAGCAATTGTCTTTCTCTAACAAAAAGACTGACGCATTGCATCAGTTGGAGGTAAATCTATCAAAGGCGGCCGATACAATGGCCAGAGCAGCCCAAATTATGAAACAGGTCTGTAAGGGGCCTCCTGGTGAGCCATATTGTATTGTTTGTTGATGGTCCAGTTTGGAGTGAATGACATGTGGTGAGATTCAGATAGCACAGTACAGAAATGCAGATGTACATGTTCAATGCATGACTCCATAATTGTGAGTGCATGTGCAGCATGGTGTGCAAGAGTTGTATGAAATGATGTGGGGTTACAGTAAACGAGGCCATGCTGAGAAACACAGGCAACCCCGTAGACCTCTCAGAGGTGCACACTGGCTAAAAACAATTGAGATCTCCATGAACTGATGTGACATGTGTATGTGTCCCAGCCTTTCCGTTAGGAGCCCTACTACAGAGGTGGAGGAAAAAAAACTGTACGAAGAAAGGGAGGGAAAGTAGGATGAGGAGGGGGCAACAAGGTCTGAGCACAGAATCTGAGCGTGGTTTCATCTAATGTGCAGCCTTTTAGGCCAAATATAAGGACGACAAGATGCACATAAAAACAGGTTGAATATTTTCAGTCTTTTTCTCAATGATTTTTGTCGGTGGTCGGGTGGATTTATACAGCAGGATTACCAATCTTTATAGCTGCAATGATTGGTTGATTAACTGATTAAAGATAACAGTCATTTTTTAAGTATAAACAAAAACATTCTCTGGTTCCAGCGTCTCCAATACACATATTTGCCGGTTTAACATATAAACTGTAAATCTTGCACTACTGGTCGAAAAAAAAACCCAAAGATATTTAAAGAGATCACCTCTGATGGACATTTCAGTATTTTCTAACATTTTATAGACCAAGCGATTAATCGAGAAAATAATCAGCAGATATAAAATAATTAGTTGCAGTCCTACTAATCTTACCTATACAAAACAATCTGCTTGCTAACACCCCTTTTATACTCGACACTTCTCTATGGTACTGTGGACACCAGTTTTAATTTGCCTTTTGTTCGGTGTGGGACTGGCTGCCATTTAGCTCCTGCACTGCAGTGTCAGATGAAATGGTCCGATGGCACATCAGACTACTGACTGTCCTGACCATATTTACATCCCATCTCAGTTATTGGACGCATAATTCCTCCACGCATCTCTTCAATCTTATATTACCCACACACACATGCGGCCGACTACAATTATAATTTCATATGCCCCAGTGTATCAGCCACCCGAGCAATTTTCTGCCATTTAAACGTGAATTTATGTCTCATGTAAATGAGTGGGGAGTCGATTTAGACCCATTGAAGGACTGGCCTTTTCCCAGGGAGCATTTCTGTTATAGGCCTCTGGTCATTTCAAGGTCCCCGTTCATCACTTTGATTTAACAGACAGCACCCAGCACTGAATGAGGCCTCCCCATCTTATCCACTTCTCTCCTAACCTTAATACAACATCGCCAAATCTTACAGAAAGTAGTAACTCATTTTTTACAAAGCTTACTAGAGGAACAATTGAATGGTGTATCCTTAAAATAATATCGCCCCTCTGCTTACAGTTTATAAAATAGTTTCTTGAATTAAACTTGAATGTCATCAGTTCCTGTGATGGGATTATTTTTGACTCATAAAAATACACAGAACAAAAGTCATAATGTAATATTACATTTCAGCTATCTTTATAATAAACTGGCACATTTCACTGTATAGAAAAGGTATCACCTCTGCTCCTCTCTGAGATTAAGGAAAGCCCGTAATAGTGTGGTAACCTGCATGTACCATTGTGTGGGTTAACTCCCGTCTGTCTATGAAGGTGTTGGCAATGTTAGCACATGGCTCACCTCGAGCTGCGGGGATATATACTTTTAAACCCAACATAAGCAGAAGGAACTTAATTTATATCTAGTTGTTTAATAACTACTCAATTATGGGTTTCTAGTTCAGTCTTCACTTAATAATAACTTTATTTATATAGGACCTTTCGACAGGCAAAGCAAAATGATAGTCGTGATACTCAAAATACTTAAGTTCGTATTTTCAGTTGCGAACGAGGTTGAAGGAGTATTTTATATTTCTTTAAATGGCATGTTTTCAATGCAGAGGATAACACCCTTGACAAAACATTCTAATTAGTGCATCTTTCACAGGGTCAGTTATTGGCTGTTTTATTGGCCACATCACAACATAGTGAGCAGTAATATGTGACCTTTACAAAGAGCATTTCTTGACAACCCGGACACCCCCTTCAGTACAACCCCATCAGAAGGGCACGTTTCTTTTCACATTCATCCGGGTAAAAAAACATCTGTAGGTGTCTTTATGGATACTGCCTGCACAATGCAGTCAAACATTTAATTCCTTTAATAAACTTTTCTCTATTTCCTTTATATTGCTCTGCACACTTGAGTGGCAGAAATAGAATTAAAAAATATTGTTTTCACACATGACAGGGAACGAATATATTGAACTTTTATGAATCACTTTAGGGTGGCAGGACAGTTTTTACCTTCTTTAAGCACTTGTGTGTGGTGGGCTTTTTTCACAATATGTTAGCCACCGTTACAGATCAGTAGATAAATTTGAAGTGAACCCTTCAGCTGATCAAACTATGTCTGAAAGACAAGACCTTGAACACATGATCGATCACCTGCTCTTATCACAACAATAACCAGTCCACCTGCTGCTTATCACACGCACTCTCCAAAACCGTCGGCAGTATTGCAAAATACACAGAGCCTGCGGCATACTCTACCTCGTGTCTTATCCAAAACCCAAGGTCTTTACAGTCATCCATCAAATACAGCTGGTCTTTGCCCATACCATAGAGCTATAGTTAATTTGGTGGTGTCCTGGCTTGGTTTAATAAAATAAGTTGTTAAATTTTATGTTTAAAATAATTGAGCATATGAAAGACGACCAAATAAAATAACAAACTGGATATATAACCGGGAAAGGGGAAAATACAGAAAGAATGTGCCTTTGGATGATATTGGTCAAATCCGAAGTTCATATGGTGGTGAGGCACACACAGAGCTCTTTAACAAGTGACATCAGGTACATGCAGGGAAACAAGATGTCAAGCGGGCATTGTTTTGAGGCTACTTAAGGGGTATAGTTGCAGGGAGGGAAGGGCCTTCAATAACACGTCGCACTCATACTGCTTACAGTATTTACAAAGGGGTGATGTTACCTTGCAATCTTAGGAAGCAGCCTCCTCATCCTTTTTATTTAGTATATTTTTATTTTTATGCATTACAGACTTCACCTTGTGTACGTTCTAATGCAACTAGAGAACCACGCCTGATAGAAACGGTGTTTCTAAATCAAACACACAGTGACTGTGTACTTTAAGTCATACCATAAAATTTCACCTCTCGTCATAGTTAAAAAAGACATGGCACCGCACAAATGTGTTGCTTGAGTTACGGTGCAGGGTTAAGACAAAGTCCAGAGAAATGCAGTGTTGCAGGTAAAGTGCTGTGTAATTCCAGCCCTGAGAAGGGACTTAAGGGACCCAGGAAAAGAGCAATGCGGCTCACCGTGCATTTGTGATTGATGGTCTCTGTCTGTGCAATAGCTGACTGAGCAACATGTACATCTCTCTTATTCACACACTTAATGGCATGCACACATCCTATAGCGTGCACAGTCTAACATAATATGAACCACAACCCATATATGTAATGTGCATGTGGAGCCTCCCTTAAATACACATCGGGCCCGTCATGGTGGCTCATTTGGTTGAAGGAACATACCATTTGGAGTCCAACCTGGGATCTTCGTCATGTGTCTTCTTTCATCCTCTCCAATTGGTTCTTTCTGACGTCACGCACACTGTTGAATCAAAAAGGAAAAAAAACACGGGAACAAAATCTTTAAAATCCTTCAGAAATGTGCATAATATACATATCATTGTACTTTGTTGATAATATGGATCAACAAACTGCACACTGTATGAGCATATCCCCCCCCCACCCCAATGCTTGATCCTGTCACGTCTCTGTTGTCTGGTGCCAAGACATGTCTGGTCTGGCTTATGGCCAAGCTGGGCTGGTCGCCACCACAGCCCCAACAGCCTAGCAGGCAGGCCTAGCTTAATGCTGACACATCGCTAACATCAGCCAGGGAGAAGAGACCTCTGGGGGATGCTGAAACATCAGCAAAGCACCATTTCAGATTTACAAGGAGGGATACACTTGCTCATCTGCAGTAGAATTTAAGAAAATGTCACACGATCATTGTGGCCCTTAAAGGCTTAATGATTACATACATTAAAAGATACCCGTGAGGCCGAGACGATGTATGCTGGGAGAAAATAGTGGAAATGCTCTAAAAAAAAGCCACGCCCCCCACAAATAAAGCTATTATTCACATAAAGCGATCATAAAACAACTTTTACCATTTTCCTCTAAAAAGAAAAACATACAATATTGATATTGTCCTCATTTGCAGCAGTTCACATTCAGTGCAGCGTGGTGTTAAGGGTGTAGCATGCAAGAGCTACAGACACATATAACCTGTCTACATATTGGATAAATTGGTATTTTAGTGGTTTAAATGGGTTACATTTCGATCAAATATTTTTTTGTATAAACAAACATAAGGCAGTAATAAAAAGAGAACAGAATACCTGATTCCTGCAAAGAGAATATATTTTGTTTACAGGGATTTTGGGGGTAAATTGACCGAGCAGCGTTACCATTTATAAGAGTGGATGACATTTGCAAACAATCAGGATGTCATTTAAATGCCTGCATGATGAAGTGAGTTAAAATTACACCAAGTAAAAGAAATAAATAAATATGACTCTATAAAATAGAACTAAAAACTGACAGTACAGCTTCTTCACAATCCAGATCTTATATTTGTTCAGATGTATATGATTATAATGGTTGCCCTTTGTGCTTAGCAAGCCATGCAAATGAGATTGGCAGAAACGTGTCATCGATATGCGCAGATCTAACCAGGAGTGCCACTGATTGATGATGCAAACCTTCTCCCTATAGCCTTTTTTGTGACCTCTGACTTCTCACCCCTCAAGGGGTTAAACTTATTACCCTTTGACTCGCTCGACCTCTACTGTGAAAGGAGGTAGATTGAAGGATGACCACAGCTTAGGTCCTATTGGCCGCTCTCTGACCAAACTGTGGCCAGAGGGCTGACCATCCAAACCCTACAGGGATGTGACCCTGGCCCTGCCACACGCTCTGTGGATAATACTATTAACAGGTCAATACAAGCCTTAAAAAAAAGAAGAAAAAAAAGGGGGGCGGGAGCGAGAACACTGCTTTTACCAAAAAGGATGAGCAGAAGAAAGGGACGAGGGGGAGATATTGTGGAAGGAACAGATTTGCAGGATGGACTTGGAGGTTATTTGTCAGGTCTGTTTGAACAAATGGCCAACAATTTCTCTTCCAAACAGGGTTGTAATGACCTGGAGAAATTCTGAATGCCACAGAGAGACAATAAGAGAAGGACTGTCCCGACAACTTCAACATTGTTAAAAAAAAAAATATGGTAATTTACAGAGTGTATGACCATTATTGTGCCCTGAGCAAACACGCAAAAAGCTAGGAAAGTGAGCCAAGTGCAAATTCAAGACATTCTCGGGGTAGACTAAACCCCACCAACATAATGCGATCATTTTAGCCTAGTCATCCCTGTAAAATCATGTTAAAGCTCAGTATGTCACATAAAATGAAGATGTTAAATGTAGAATTGAAAAGAAATGTAGAACTTACGATTCTGTTGCATATAGAAATAAAATGTCCATAATAAATATTCTTTTAAATATATTAGAGCAGTGTTGCTTTACACTGTACCTCCCATCTCTAGTATGAGCAGAAGAGGGGTGTACTGGGTGTTTGCCAATACAGCACATTACATGCATGCAAGACATGTGCTCGCTCTCACACACACACACACACACACACACACACACACACACACACACACACACACACACACACACACACACACACACACACACACACACACACACACACACACACACGATTATTAGCCATTTTTGCTGCTATTTCCCTTATTTCTCTCTAATAAATCACAATCTGATTCGGCCTCTGAATAATGAAGTTTTTAATAGGACGGATAAACCTACTTTTTTAAAGATGAAACGGCAAACAATATGCAGCATGGCCACAACTCAACTGACTAATCGTTTTTTTTTTTATTGTGTTACTGTTACTGTAACAAATGCTGGGCAATGTGACAATGATGAACCACCCAAAAAACTCCCAAAATTCACTCTGATCAGCTCCAACTCTTTCACATCCACCATCACTACTATCACACCCAAAAAACCAACAATACTCTTGCTGTTACTGTAAAAATGTTGCAATGTATTTCTACTAGAATTGATTTGACTGCACGCCTCTACCCAAACATCATGAATACGCATATAGAGGGTGTACACAGGGCATACATAATGCGCTTTGTCTCACTCCACCCTTAAGAGTTCAGCCCCAATAAAAATAATAATATGCAAGACTAAATAATGCAACAAGCAGCCAAAGCTAGGACTCCTACAAAATTAGTTTAGAAAAAGGCATTAAGGGATGATAAAATCGAGCTGTGACACATGTAGCCGATAGAATCCACTCTACTAAAGTTGTCAGACCTGCGGCTACAGTAGGGCTTGTAAACAACCCTGCAAGCATGCATTCAGTGTCACAGAAACGCACATGCAATCTCACACAAACGCATACACATTAGTGGCAAAGGTTCACAGATTACTCTGAACAATGAAGAGAGGAAATCTTCGAGTGAAGAAGGAAAACCAAAACCAAAAGAAAACTAAAGAAGATTTGGGTTAAATGGCAAAAAGGAGAAAGAAACAGATTGAAACAGTACCTTCTAAAGCATCCATGTGATGAGAGAAGGGTGGGACACCTGCAGAACCTTGCATGGTCTATCCAGAGCTCTTCAGCGACTGCTTCCTCACAGAGCACTGTGTGTGTATGAGCCAGAGAGAGAGTATGTGTGTGTGTGTGTGTATGTGTGTGTGTCGGTGGCTGAGGGAGGGGATCCTACCCCTCCTCCTTAGGACTGTGCCTCCTTAACAGGATGGAGGGGTAGGTGGGGCCACTGCAATAAAGCAAACACACACACACACACACACATTTTCTATGGTTGTTATGTCCTCGCTGCTCTCGCTCTTTCCCGCCTCCACACTTCCATCTTTCTGCCTCTTTCCAAGACTTGCTCTCAACCTCCTTCCCTCGCAGACTTGCTCTCATTCCTCTTGCCTCGTGCTTCCCTCTGAATCTCAGTCTGTCTGCAAGGCTCTTACACTCTCCCTCTACCTTTCATCTCCCACCCCTCCCTACCCCTTGCCCCAATCCCTTCCTCTCTGACTGTATGGTAATATTAACATGCTCCCATTAATCTGAAGAGGAGAGGGACATATGCTGTTTCTGGCTGGTGGTCCACAACCTGCTAAACTCCTGGGGTGTGTGTGCTGTGTGTGTGCGTCCCGTCGGTCTTTAGTCTCGTAATACTACAGCACTGAGATTAAGCGGGACAGTCAGAGAGCATGGTGTGGTTGAGATGAAAAGAGAGGAGAGAGACAGCGGAGAGAGGAGTGGTGCCACGATCAACAGCAGTGAAGCACACTTTTTTTTTAACCTTTTATAGTTCTTCTTGCTCTGGGTCGCTGTGCCGCCACCCCTCCTCCCCTGCACTCATCCGGCCACCGAACACATATCCCATCTGATTCGGGGAGTAGCCATCCCTACATAAATCATTCCCTTATTCCATTGGCCACACGTTACATTGAAAGTATTGATTTTTCTCCCCCCCGCCGCAGCACTGATTGCAAGGAAACCCTTCACAACGGTCACAAACAGGAAGTGGAAAAACAAACCACGGGTGTGTTTCGATTGACCACAATGGCGGATTTCAATGGCTTTGGTCACAACACTGAAGAAGGGAGATCTATGCTTTGCTGCACACGGCACACATGGTGGAAATCTAAAGACGGCATGTAAAATACAAAGAAAACCAAACAGGTACAACACAAAGAATGAATCAGTAAAATGTAACAAGCAGTTCAAAACGACACTTTCATAGCCATGCTCAAAACAACCCAGGAAGCATCAATACTACAATAGGAACTATTACATCTGTATTTCAGTATTTCCTAATCTAACATCAGTCCACAAAGATTAGGCTAATATTTTAAGCTTGGCTGTAGCAACATTAAAAACAGGCGTAGTTGTGGAGTAAACACCAAACCTTTCAAAAGGTGAGACAAAATAACAGCAGATGAAACTCTATGGTTTCAAATGAGCCACTGACCATCAGAAGAGCAAACGCTGCCGTTTCCATGACAGCACAGCTGAGGATACTTTGAACTCTGACCTTATACTCCTGCCTGTGCTCTGAAGCGGTGACCAAACCCAGGGTCAATCAAAAATTAGGTCAGCAGGGGTCAAATGGTAATCACCCCTCTCTGGTTACGCAACCACACCATATCAACCTCCTCCCAGGAGCATCTTAAGCATCGTTCATCCTAATCAGAGGAGTGCACCTTCCAGGAGTACAGGGTGATGCTGCCTGTGCATAATGAGATAGGTAAAAGTCTGTCATTATGCATGACAGAGGGAGAGGAAAATACAGAAAACTGAAATAAGACAGATTTCAGTCCATTCTTACCATACACTGATGCGTTAATACCTCAGTTTAAATGGTAGACATTTTGTATTGACTAAACACTTGAGGTATTCCTTTATAACTGGCCTACATTACTCCACAATGATCTACCATAACTTGGGATAGACAAAGAGGGCAGTGAGCAGCAAAATGCAATAATAGTTGGAGTTATCCATCTCAACACAAGGTACGCGGTGAAAAGCCTGCCTAGGTACTATAGATGAGTTAAGTTATAGAGAAGTTAGAGAGAAGAATGGTGAAATATTCAGGAGCAACATTTTTCCTGGAAGGTGCATTTGCAGGTTTACTGGAGGCCAGTGGTGACTCAGCACAAAATAGAGGATGGTTTAATAAGTGATAATAAATAAAATAAGTCACACTCATCAACAATGATGTAGGACAACTGCCGAAACTACTGGATTTGTCCAGTAAAGAATGTAGTTCAAAGACATCCAGAGAGGAAGAGGGGATGATCTTTAAGAAAGGATGACACTGTCTTGGGGTAGAGAAACTGGGTTGGAAGAGAAGGGGGAAGACAGATGAAGGGGTGGAGGGACTGATCAGAGGGGTGCCAGACACAAAGAGGCCAGGCCATGGCCGGTGGCACGCGATGGGCAGATTAACCAGCGTTTCCTCCCCTAACTGAAGCATTAGGACACCTGACTGAGTCCCGCCAATGGCAGCCAGCCAAGGATTTGGTGGGGGGGAGACAAGCTGGGGCTCGCCTTTCAACACTCAGGCTCTTCAACAACACAAAGAGGGGTGGGGTGGTGTTCGTAGGGGGAAAAAAAAAAAAAAATAGGGGGTGATGGGCTGGTGGCTTGGAGTGGGGAGGGGGGGCTACAAGCCTTACCCCTCACCATCTGCTGCCCAGGCTAAGTGAGGACAGGGGTAGGGCCAGAGTGCAGGGTGGAGTATGTGAGCGTGTGCACAGAAAACACACGTGTATCTGCGTGCACGCACCTGTTAGTGTGTCAGTGGGTGGCTGGGTGAGTGGAATGGCAGATGGACAGGGCATACTCCTGGCACCAGAGCTTCGATGTTAGTCATCCAACATTAAGGAGTATCCCCCCCTTCCCCCACATTCCTAACCCCTGCTACCTAATCCACAGTGCCAGCCAATTCTTTATGTTTTGCTCAGTTTGATTAAGACATCCATGATTAGAGACATTATGGGCTGGGTTAGAGGGTGTGTGTGCGCGCGCGTGTTTGTGTGAACCGCTTATCCATGTGGTTGTTTACTGTAACCAAAGCCAAACAGATGCAGCCCCTTTTGGCCCAATGCCACTTAGCATTATCTCCTTTTTAACAACTACTGTAAGGCGCAATTAATCCTAGTTCTCATTTCCTTCTCTTGGAAGTGTGTTGCAATATGTGGTTGAGAGAAGGAAAACCCCAAAAACCGTAGCGGACCAAATACCTATATATTACACCACTACTGTCCCAAACAAACTACACACACCCTCATATAGTAATTGACTGTTATTTCCCCCCACTCCCCCCACTCTGTGTGTTTATCCGCACATTATCAGTGAGCTGTATATTTCCCCCTGCATTTTAAAAAAAAAAAAAAAAAAAAAAGGGGGTCAGAGTAGCAGACAGTTCAGTCTTGCTGAGCAGTAATCTGAAAATGCCTGTAATCCTCCATACAGAGCCCTTCTGGAGACCGTGATTGTAGTGTGGAGAGGTGTAGCCTCGTCTCCGTTTAGCAGCCATGTGTCTGACCGAGCTTGACACGCAACCAGAGCCTTACAGCTGCCAGGACACACACTGAGAGATGAGGCACAGTAAAGCTGCCCCGGTCACTCACTGGAATAATTATGCCATTTTTCGCCCTATACAATGCACAGTGAGTGCAGGTCACTGAACTTATTCAACTCAGTGTTGGAACAAGTGGCATATCTGGGAGCCAATGAAAATCACTGGTTTATGAAGACTTCTGAAATTTGAGATGAACACAAACACACACGCGTACATACACACACCAATAATGCTCACAGATAAAAAGTTTACTTGGCAACACCAGCAGCAATCAGAGAATCAGTCAATTAGACCCATGATGGTGACATTTATTTTGAGTAAGTACACGTGAATCTTCCCAAGGAATTTCTGTAACGACGAAGTGGCACTTTAGTTCCTGAAATATATGGAAAATCAGAGCATTATTTGAACAATCTCCTTACAAATATGCATTGGAGCAGGGAAGGTGCACATTTACACTGTCCACTGTATTAATTGCCTCCTCCCCAGCAGGTGTGTTATGCACCAACTAAAACTGTGAACTTACTTTGGGTTCAGAGTGGTAGAGACATGGCTCAGTGTCAATAGTGTCGCTGGTCTTGCACATTGTACGACCAAGCTTCACTTCCAGGATGTAGTTTATTCCCGCGACCACCTAAATGAGACAGCATGAGTCATTAAAGGCATGTTTGTAGTTTAAAATCACGTGTAACGTGACTCCAGAATTAAGTTTTACCTGGATTTTGGCCGAGGTTATGTTGACAATTTTGTAGGCAAACAAGTCCTCCGCGTTGTCTCTGTTGAATTCAACCATAGCGAACCGTGCTGCCCGCAGAACCTTGGCGCTGTTTACGGGGACTTCGAGGGGCTGACCGGGCATCGTGTACTCGGCGGCTACAAGGCAACCAGCCGAGGCACAGACGAAAATACAAAACCAGGCGAACATCTTAAACCCGACAAGTTGCTCTGAAGTAACGGAGGGAGAGTCCCAACGTTGGCGTTCAAAACCAGGGTTATAATATAGCAGCTAGAAACGCTCACCTGTTTCCTATCTGCTGATTAAACTATGAAAGTCCGAACTGAAAATCACCACTAACCAGAAACTTCTGGGTTGCGCGGCAACCGCGTTGCTAAGCTGCCGTGAAGCTGGTGTTGCTGGTGGAAAACAGGCTAATTTATGTGAATATACAAAATAAAAGTATCGGAATAACATTTATTTATTAGGAGGAATACAGTAATGTTTCGGTCTTTTCTCAGGCTACATATATAACTCTACATGTTAAGCACATGTGCCATTTGATCATTAATTAAGACAGCATTATTGGCAGAGTCAACCTCTCAGGCCTCACACAGGCCTACATTTCATGGCTCATAATTCATAAAATTATTGAAAGATTTAAAGAAAATATCACATTAGGAACAGTATGGTCAAGTGTTATTGTTTTTTGACAGTGGAATATTTTTCCACATTATTCAACATAAAAAACCCTACTTTAAAATCAAAATATAAGAAGAAACAGAATTCACAGGTGTCCACTGTCTTTAAACAATCGGCAGTTGTTTTAGAAGTCATAATTAAGCTGAATGGAAGTCAGCTGTGTGTAACTAGTGTGTGACAGGTGATTATACTTTAATACTACCCTATATGGACTGTCCAAATGCTGGTTTAGTAAATATCCTGGCAAGAACTACATCATGCAATCAAAGGAATATTCTAAACCATTGCATGACAAGACCACTGGAAAGTAGCAGTCAAGGGAATTACATAACAAAATGCCCTTAAATAACTTGAAATAGGGATATCAAATAGCACTGCATTAAATCCTCAGAACATTTTGAGTCCGTGTCTGTGTGGTGGGCTGCCACTATACTGCAACTTTAAAGCTTATCACACTGAATGCAATATTTGGTGTAACACACCATCCCCTCCAGGTCCTGCAGAAAGACCTGCTTCAGCCTGTAAAACTTTTTTTTTTTTTTTTTTTAAGAAGACAGCTACCTCAAACCTCAAGTGATGAGAGTCCAGACAATCTATTTGAAAATGTGTGGCATGACTTGAGAATGGTTATTGACTCCCCATGCAACTTGATAGAGCTTGTGCAGTTTTCTGAACACGCACGGGGGAAACCACAGATCCATTTATATGCACTCAAGTCTGTAACTGCAGCCAAATGTGCCTCCACTTGTACATTTACTTTGTTTTGAACTATTTGTAAATATTTTCCTTGATCATTGCAAATAGATTGCGATTTAATATTACTGTAAACATTCAATAGGCAGTGAATGTTTAATTTCTTTCTTCTTTTTTTTTATATGATGTACAATCTGAATTTTACATCCTGAGCAGGGAATTTCTTACCAGTCACAGTAACACAAATAATAAATGTCCTTGCCTCACAAATTCATTATCTTTTATTCTGGATAAGCATCACAAAACATTAACAACTAAGACGTACTTGTTGTTTAGTGTTTGAATGTTTAGTGTTGAATTAAAATACTTATTGTATGTACGTATGATCAAGAAAAAGGCTCTGTTTTCATCCTCTCTTCTATTGTATCTTTGTAAATCTCATCATCTAATATACTGCGGGGTTGTGCGCTTGTTGCAGACAAATGTCAAGGAATGTCTTGAGCTCAGGTTTGCAGAGTCACACTGATGAGAGGATCTTGCAGCCAGGGAGCAGTGATGGCCAAAGCAGGAGGAGCATGGTGCTGCTGGATGGGCAGTGGGCCCTAGAAGACATGGGGCGGGTGGGGGGTATTGGGATTACTGGAAAGGAAGCAATTACAAGCTTTGTTCTTTGGATTTGAATTTAGAGATGCTGTAGTAAAAATGACATAACACAAAAGACATCCCTTTGTTGTACATTAAAGCATTATCCAGAATCCTGAGACACTGTGTAGTGTGGGTGGGAGACAGCATACTGAAGGTGGGTGCAGGGTTTTGTTTTGTTCTGTTTTGTGCGCTAGGAAAGGATATCTTTATAGCCAGTATGAACAGTAGGAAAAATTACAGTAGGGCTGCCACTAATCATAGTCTTCATTATGGATTCATCTAGAAATTATTTTCTCAATTAATCGATTAATAGTTAAAACAAATAGTTAAAGATTGTCGTTATAGCCCAGAGCCCAAGGTGGTATATTACAATGTTTTCCTTTATTTGTCCAAATCCAAAAGATATTCAGTTTACTGTCATATAAGGCAAAGAAAAACAGCAATTCCTCACATTTGAGCTGAAACCAGATGATGTTTGGCATTTTACTAAATAAATGATTCAAACAATTAATCGTCAAAGTGGAATAATTATCTGTCAAATGACTAATGGATTAATGGACCCATTGTTTCAGTTCCAGATTACAGCAGCTAATAACTCTTTCGATGTACATATGGGCATATAAATGTTGCAATAGGACAGACTTGAATATCTTAACTCATCCTTTAATAAACCTATTCTGTCTTGCAGAACCAACCATTACAAACATGTTATGCAGCTGAGATTTGTTAAAGCTTCTAAAACTTAGAAATTCTTAGAACTTAGAAAGTACAGTTTCCAGAGATACCAAACATGTCCTTTTGAGTCACAGCCAAACTAAAACTGATACACACTACAGTAGGCTACTGTGAGGTTAAGAATAAATACTCTGGGTTTTACTGTTTTACTAACCATGAGTCAGCATTAGTTAATTGCAGGAACAAGCAGGAACAAAATATACTGAATATCTATGTGATATTTGTGGACAAAGGTTTTTATATAACTTTGAAGCCAACTAAATTTAAGGTGGAATATCAGCCTTCTTAACAGTAAACAGCAATGACACTTTATTACGTAAGAGCAGTGGTTAAGAAAGAATTCATATAATTTATATAAGTAAAAGCAACAATACCACACACATTAAAAAAACAACTACATAACAAGTAAAGGTCTCTTAAAATGACAAAGTAAATCAGAGTCATCAGCGAAATGTATTTAAGGTATCAAAAGTACTAGAACCATGTCAGAGTTAAATTGGATCATTATTTTAATTTAATTTGAATTCATTTGAGTGTTGCATCTGGTGAAAGTGGAGCTTTTAAGTTTAAGTTTTTAGAACAATACATCATATTTTATAAACTGATTAAAGTCAGCAAATCTTAATTATTGAAGTAACTACAGCTGTGAAATAACGCAGCTGAGTAAAAAGTAGCAATACAGAAAGAACAATATTTGTCTCTGAATAAATAAATGAAATAATAATAATAGAATAATATAAAATAGGAGGGAAAGTGCCTCAAAAATGGTACAAAATAACGACAGTAGTAATAAATGAACTTTCAAAAGGCACAAACACCTGCAGAACTTTACAGTAACTTATAAATAAAGGTTACCTCTTTATTCGACGCCTCAGTCGTTATGAGGGTGTCTGCTTGCTCACAGAGTTACAGCTGACTTCTGTTTTCCTACCGACATTTAAACTTTTTAGGAGATTGGCTTCGTGACGCTTCGAGGCAACAACGACTTCCTGTTTGCCATTAATATGAAACCTTCATGCATTAGTTTATTCATTCTCAATATATTTAATAATAACAATATAAACAACATACAACCGGAATCCGGTAAGCAGCCATGGGAGAAACCCTGTTTGTCTTCATTGCGCTTATTTACAGCTCATTACAGCTATTTACAAATAGCGATATGATGCACTACCGCCCCCTACCGACTCGGAGTATGAACTGATTTTCAGAAAAAATGCTTTTATGGACATGCTTCAGAAAAAGGTCTCCCTCGTTCAGTAATTCAGTATTCCTTCATGATATAAGCACCAAAAGGCACTCTAATGATCAGTGATTGAGGTTAGTAATCATCACAAAACAATGGCTGAAACCAAATGAGCATAAATGCAGAAAAAAGCAATATGATCCAGGAACACAAAACTGTATTAACTGGCAGTGTTGTGTAGCCTCACTTGGAGAAAACTGAGATAAAGTAAAACAAGGGAGATAGATAGACATTTGTATTTAAGTGTGGACATTAAATAAGGGGGATCTTTAAACTCTGAAATCCTTATAGAGATTAAATATTATGTCATATGTTGTAAAGATTCGCTGACATATTATATACAGTAGGTACCAGAATGGAAAATGGTTCCAGGAGGAAAAGGCTTATGCTGCTCTGAAGGCATAATTGATAAAATATAAAATTATTTCCCACTTTGTAGTTTATTTCACCCAAATTTATATTTGCAACTACAGTATGTCCCCATGTCATTAAGCACGTGCATATGCAAAAGACAAGAAAATAATTATAAGAAAAAAAGACCCATATATGTCCATAAGAAGCAATTAAATAAGTATCTTTTTTTTTAAAATGTAAACTCCTTTTCTCTTTATTCTAAATAGTTAAAAGATGAATTATAGACAAACTGAAATTAAGTTTTTATTTTATTTAAAAACAACAAAATATAAACCACACTACACTTTTAAAAAGCCTATTTTCTTCATTGTACAGAATATTTTAGTGTTGAACAAGCATTGTTAAAAATGGCCACATGTGAACAATCATCACAAAGACAGGGAAAATGAATTCATTGGAAAACAAAGTTTCATAAATGTTCTATTCCTGGGAAAGTATGATGTGAACCTGTTTACAGTGGAACAGCATCTGAAATGCCGTCCTGTCTAATTGCATTTAAAAGTGGGGGGCACACTCCAGAATCATTTATTTTGGTCTGAATCTACACAACACATAATTTAAAAAACACATAACTCTCTACCACGATAGCTCCATAAGAGCTAAATACATCCAAACAAATTATGCTTAAAAACAATTCCTTGGACAATGAAGGAATGTAGTGCTGGTTCATCTTTTTTTCTCGTGGCTGGAAATACCAGTACAAACACAAAACAGAACATGTGAAAAAACAGAACAGCATTACTGACTGAACAGCTAGAAAACAACAGAAAGACTTGGATTAAGCTACACATTAGTTGGGGTTGAGTCCACCCTTAAATAATCTTTATGAAAGTTGTACAATGTTAGGTTTTGCTTCTCAGACACAATTATCTGGTCCCCAATATTTTATCATAGTTTTTCCCACATTATTTTACATGAATTATGGCATTCCTATCCCTGTTTTTATGTTCATGATGTCTTTTTTCATGTGAAGCACTCGGAGCATGTCATTTCTTTGTTGTAAAGCACTTTGAGCTGCATTTCTAGCATGAAAGATGCTATACAAATAAAGTTATCATTTACCAGTGTTTTGGCACAAAATGTGGCTGCATTATCTTAAGTATGATATGTGCTCTGAATTAAATACACAATTCAAAAACGTTCTGAATTGTCGTGCAGATATGAAAAACTGGCAAAATGCAAACAGTCATTACTTCATCCAACTACCGTCTAATATCTGCAAAATAGGAAACTGTTGTTCATACTTAAATTTACAATATTCATTTCATGAAAACACAATCCAGCTGCTTTTTTTTTTTTTTTTCCTTTGGGTATATTTCCATAAAATATCTTCACCCGATCATAGGGAACGTCACACCTGAGGTACCATTAGCACATGCTTCAGAATCAGAAACTGCATTGAAATTTGTCCCAACAAAATGAAGGTGAATAGAGAAATATGCACCAGGATTTGTCCTAGATTTTCCTTCCTTCCTTCCTTCCTTCCTTTTTGACCCAAGATAAAACAGCAGCGTGGTCACACAACATATCTGCCAACACTAACCTCTGAAATTAATAAAAAAAAAAAAAAAAAATGTTAAGTACAAAAGGTCTCTGCAAGTCACACACACACACACTCCTTCCTAACAAGCTACTCCTGCAGCTATCAGCAATACTGGCTTTGCTTGTTTGGACATCATTAGATGCCCGTTTCTATGTTGAATAACAAACCGCAGCTGGGCTCCCGGTTGGATTTCCTAGTTCCACAGAGCTACGACATGCTTAGTGTACATTATGCTGTGTGATGGGCAAATATTGCCCCTTAAAAATGAAAAAGGCCCAAGATAAAATGACAGAATGGTCCTATTTTAAGGTATTTTTTGTGGCTCAATAAAGCTCCTGCTGCAGAGCAAACAATAATGGTTAGTCTGCCATTTTAAGATTGTCTCTAAACACAATCTGACACAGGAGCCGACCATTCTTCTTCTGTCTGAAACATTTCCTACAAATTTTCATAGCGATTATACCTCCTTTATTGGTGTGACTGAAGGAATGGAGAAGAAGTGTGCAATGGGATTTAATGGGAACCCACTGAGTGATAATGACTAGTGTAGAGATATTAATAATGAATGTGAGTAGTGCTGTGGAGGTTCAAATAAAGGACTGATAAACAGGCGTTGACAGTTATGTTAGGTAGCGTCGCACTGCCCCTGCTGGAGGATGGTGAGGGGAAACCCTGGTTTGTACACACGACTCCATCTTCAGTTAGCATTGGAACCACTATGTGTTCCTACAGGGTGTTATTCTCTGGGGAGAAGAGAGCTGCCAGGCCCAATGCCTCACTGTTCTGTACATCCTTGTCTGGCTTCGGCTTTTTAAAGAGCGATGGAAGATTCCGGATATGAACCTCCTTCCTGAACTGCTGGCACAGAGCTTTCTGTTGGCAGGGGACAGAGAGGGGAGAGGTTAAACAGAGCTATCCAAAGATCTACCAGAAAGAATTTCATTAGATTGTACAGCCCCGCTGAGCTCCTGAAACATTTTTTTGATTTACAACACAGCCGGAATCACACTGCTGAGTAATGACTTGCACTATTAGGTCAGTGTCTCTGGTCACTTCTAACGCCTACAGTGAGCATGAATAGAGAAGCACTGCTCTCTAGTGGCTAAATGTGGCATTACCCCAACTGTTCCTGCAATGAGCTTCTTGAACTGGTCTTTCCTCTTCTTGTCTCCAACCTTCTGGGCATTGGGGTCCAAGAGCCTGTGATTATACTGGTCCAAGGCGTCCACACTAATGTTTGGGATCTGGGTCATCACTGCGCTCAGTTCCATGTAGCGAGGCAGCTAAAACAGATGGACAGACAGGTGTATGCACAAGTAAGGAGATTAAACGCGAGGCATTCTCAGGATGCATCTCCACGGGAATGGAAAATTTGCTTTTTGCTTTACCCCTATATGACTGTAGAGCTGAAATAATTAGTCAATCAACAGCAAGTAAATGAGAAACTACTACTGATAACCGATCAATTATTTGGAGTCACTTTCTCCGCCTTCACAAATGTGAGGATTTGCTGCTTTACTTTGTCATAGATGATAGTAAACTGAACATCTTTGGGTTTTGGACTAAGTTTGGGTAAAACACGCAATTTGAAGCAATTCATTTTTGGAATTTTTCACAGTTTCCTGACATTTTATTGACAAAAAAAAAAAAAAAAGAGATCTAGAAAATAAAGGGCAGATTAATCCATAATAAAAATAACCATGAGTTGGCTAGGTGACTTCTTGGACCAAACAAAGGGAAAAAAAAAAAAGCAGACATGGCAGACATTACTGCCATTAGCCTCACCAAGTTTTCATAGATGAGCATGGCCAGCTGAGAGAGGGTGGAGTTGCAGACCTCATGCTGCCCATGAACCTGAAGGCCTCGAAGAACACTGGTATATAACCATGTGACCGCCTCAGGAAGAAGATTACCCCCTATGACCTGAAGAGACATAGAGTGGACATGGGAAGAAAACTTTAGAAATATGCAGAAATTTAAGATGCTTTTTAAACACTCCATGAACTTCCAAGATGCTTTGAGTCACTCAAAACCGTTCAATAAAATTATTATACATCCACAAAAAGTCAGGTGATTATTAGGGGTGTTTGAAAATATCGTAAAACATTGTGTTGCAATATTTTGTTTTGTGATATTCTCAATTCTCAGATTCTCAAAAACACAGTATACATTTTATGTTTAAACCCCCCCCAACTGCTATATAGCAGTGTTGTAATCGTGATCCGGGGGCTATGCTGCTAGATGTTACAGTGACTCTGATAAATACCAAATGCAGATCACATTGTTCTGGTTATATACACAGATTCTATGCATATGGTGGTGGGTTCTTTATACTATAAATTGCAATATATCACAATATACTGAATCGTAACCCCTGTATTCTGATACGTATCATCTTGCCAAATTCTTGCCAATACATCAAACCACGTTACATGTATTTTCTGTGTATTTGAAACACATCAATGTTCCTTCGTTAGTGTTGTTTATTTCCCACATACATGTCCTCCGGCTGAGACTGAAATAATGCTAACAAATGCACCATTTACTCTTTGCTACAGCTATTTCGGGAAATTATTATTATTATTTTTTTTTTAAATGAAAGTACATATTTGTATATTTGAATGGGATTGGTACTGAGAGCCACAGACAGGATATGGAAGTAAGAGTTTTGAGAGACAGCCTTATCCTTTACAAAGGAAAAAGGATAAAGATACAGGCTTAAACTAAAGGTTTGTTGCATTGAGCATGCTACCTGTCGCAGAAGGGTCCAGCAGACCATGGAAGCAGTGCGGTGACAGTTAGTGGTGTCCTTCCATGACAGCGAGGTGAAGGAGAGGGTCAGTAAGGTCATATAGATGTTCTGGACAAAAGGAGAAACAAGTTTTAGTTTATATACAGCATTTAAAGAGTGAATGTTACGTGACGTGTTTTCGGCTGACCTCATGTTTCATCAGGCATTTTCCCAGCTCAGTCAGCTCCTCTGTGGGCTGGCCAGGAGACGTCGTCTGCACTGACTCCATCATCATGTCTTCCTCTAAGAGAGCACATTTCAAGCAAAAAGATGAGACTGTCAGAATAAAAAACAAACAGAATCTACCCATTGATTAAAAAAATAATAATTACCCTCTATTTCCTCTTTATTTGCTGCTGGTTCAGGCACTTTTCTGGAAATACAGCTCACAGCTAGAAGAAAAGAAAGAAGAGAAGTATGAAAGCCACACAATAATTTGACTCTGCAGTTTCAGACTTCGAGTAAAAAGCTGATCAGGCAGTTGTAGTGCTATATCCTAAAAATCCCACACACAAATTATGGCATACCTTCTCAACATGCAACATTAAAACTTTAGTTTGGGAATGCACAGTGAAAATAAATAAAGTTAAACGTGACAAGCAGAAACAATCCTTCAGCTGTTTACCAACACAGCAAGGGAAGCATAATGAACAGACGTCAAGACTCAAAGTCTACCAGCTGTTGAGTTGTGAGACACCTCTAACCTCAATCAGTAAGGTATTATATGTATATGCCAGACACAGAATGCAGCTGTGTGTTGGTGTTAGACTGCAGTGCAATATAATTAATTTAATGGTACTTAACAAAAACACTTTTCAACAATCAAATGAGTTATTGATATCAGTTTCAGAACTCCCCCAACCCTTTTTTAGGATAAAACTAGGCAAGAGGTTGTTAGTCACCCAACATAAACCCTACTGGAAGCAACACAATCTTATCAATATGTGAAGTCTCAGCTCTATCTAGGAATTATGGCTGATATTTGCACTTTCCTAAAGCGTACTCAAACCATTTTTAGCTCGTGTAGCTGGCAGAAACACAACCTTAGCACGTGACTAAAGTGCATTAGCAGTATTAAGGAATAAGCCCTGAGCTCCCCTTCACACTTTGCTTTACAGTTATTTTAGACAGGGACATTATATTGCCATCATAAAACAACTATAACATCAATGTAAAACCAATAACTCACTTTTGCAATAAATATTTTATTTTTATTCAATGCTTATGCCAACAAATGCAAAGTGGCTGGCACGTAGTACTCAGTGCAATGATAGTTAACACACTTATTTTACCTTCAAACACCTTCATGTGTTCTATAAGTCACTTTTATGTCTTTGTAACACAACAACTGTTCGCTATACTTGTATAGAACTGGGACCATTTAGATGTGTTGAGATGCTGAAACTTACAGAGGAGATCCAGCACCTCCCTGGTGAGCAGGCGCACCAGCTGCTCCTCCAACATCTCCTGCGTCACCTGGCTCTCTTGACACACCACCTCCTCCTCCTCGCCACTAAAAGCACCAACAGGTAACCAATAAGTCCACATATCCAATTTATAGCTTAGACACAGTGAGCTATCAAATAATTAAACATACAGTCTACTCAGTAGAGGCTTTAGAGCTCTTAGTTGCTTTTTCAAACTGCATTCAGGTCCAAAAGATCTTTTCTTTTACATTAAAATTATCTCTTGTTCTTCAGCCAGCTTAACCACATACTGTACTTATAGTGTTAATTGTGATTTGTATTTGCAGCATTCATGTTAAACTTAAGTGATCAATTAAGGCTTTACATCAGCCTCCGCCTGAGGGAACCACTTGCTTTTTTATAGAGTACATCATTTTCAGTTTCCTCTGCTTCACTGGTGTAATTTATAAGGAAATATGCACAACTTACTTGACAGAGGTCCTCTGGTTGATCACCTGCCACTTGATGTTTAGTCTCTGCAGAATGAACCGGGATCAAAGTCGTGAGAATAAGCAACAAAAGCAGCTATGACTGAGCAAATTAGTATCTAATGTGAGAATAATGTTATATACAGAATGGGGAGTATGCAGATACTGACCTGCTGCATGTAGGCGAACAGAGGGCCCAGCAGGGGGCAGAGTAGACTGTCGTAGTACTCCTGAGGACATGACAGCACCAGCTGCCTCAGAAACACCCGTAACACTTGTTAAGAAAAATGAATGTAAAATAACGCAATAGCTCAGCTTTGTGTTAATCTAGTAGTAGTAGAGTAGTAGTATCCACCAAAATAAGATAAGAAAAATATCTCTCTACAGATGTATATCTCCAAACCACCGACCGAATCATGGCAACAGGAAAAATGGTATATCAAAGGATATGAATCATTGGACGAAGCCTGTGATCAGGTACGTGGTCGAGGGACACAAAAGCAGAGCCTGCTATTTCTTCTGCCAACTTCTCTATGGTGTAGAATTCCTGCTGCAGGGACAGACCTGCATTTCCCAGGACATGGAAGCTAAAAAGGGTAAAGAGAGAAGAGAGATTATACTTTAATCAAACAGCATGTGAGGCATAAACAATACAAAAACAACATTTGCGGGGTAAGTGCAACTGCTACAACAGAAAGCTCACCAGTTGTCATACAACATGGTAAAAAATCCCTGCATGCGCTCCAGGCTGGATCTATACACAGGAGCATCATAGATATCCAAAAGATGCTGAGAGAGACCTGGAGAAAGCACATATAGAGAAGGTTTAACCACAGTATTTTTAGATGATGGCTCTCAAAAAGCATGCACAGAAAGCTCCTCTTACCAAGAACCACATTTTTCTCTGCATCCATCACCTCATGGGCCCTGGAGAAGGTCTCACTCAGACGAGCCATGTTCTCTGGCATGAACAGACTATTGTGAGTCCTGCAGTGAGAGATAAAGAAAAAGAGACTGGTCACATAATCAGTATAATAGAAGGCATTATTGTTGAGACACTGTTAGACACACTGATTAATCCCTTTTACACCACACATCTAAAAATCAAGGTCAGACTCATGTCTAGATCATGTGTAAATTGCTTAATATCCCACGAGTTCTCCACATGGGAAATAAAAGGATTAAAAAGGAGTAATGCAAAGTACAGTGTCCACCATACCTGATTAGAGCCAGCAGATTGGGCAGCAAGACTTGAAATTGAGTGGTGAAGGGGTTTCTGTAGATGGGAGCTCCAGCTGGGGTGTAGCCCACGACAAAGCCACCAGACTTGGCTTCTGCCAAGTCTGAAGGCCAGCGTGACCGCTTCACCACCCCCAACATGGCATACAAACAGAAACTCAACTAGAGGAAGAAACAGGAAACGAGAAACGATTAAATAAGTTTTGCACTGTTATAGTCGACCACAAGCAATTTTTGCACCGCTGCACCTAAATACAGCTGCTGGGATGGCTGTGGACTCCTAGTATCATCTATTAATAAAATATAGACTCCAAGGAAAAAGCAAAATAATTTCAAATGTAAGCTTTTGGGGTTAATGCAAAAGTGACTGACATCTGTATCTTGCGGTGTTGAAAACAGGTTTGTGATTTATTTACAGTAGTGTCTTGGCCATTAGTGAGAATGTTTTGCAGTCTTACTTGGAACCCTCAGTTACACCTATAGACTTACCCGCCCCCTATTAAGTCCTGCTGTGTCTGTATCTTTACTTTGCTCAGTGACCACCTGATCAGCTCCAACAAAGGACAAGAACACAGCAGGGTCCCCCAGCGCACTGAAACACAAAGAATAGAAAACAATTATCGGTCATGACATCAAAATACATCATGTACAATCTGAGGGTAAAAAGAAGGAATTCAAACGCACTGCCTCATCTCATCCGAAGTCCATTCTGCGACAACAGAAGCCATCAGTTCATCTAGAAAAGCCTTCTGCTTTGTAAAGTCTTTGAACTGGTTACTGATGAGCACCAGAGATTCCATCAGTGAACATTTCTCCATGTGAGTCAGCGTGGCGTCGCTTGAGAACAACTTCTTAACGTGATTGTAGAACATGTCAAAACAAGGCTGGAGAGGAAAAAAAAACAAATTATCCAAAAGTCACAAACATTTATGGCTATTCATTAGCAGTTAAATGTTTTGAGCATAACATTAATCAGCTGAACGCAAGTACAATCTATGTCATGCTATTCTACTTTTACTGGGATAGAGGAACATTTACCAAGATGAACTGTGGGTAATCTCGGCAAATTTTGATGATGGAAGAACAGGCGTGCCTCCTCACATTCTTTACAGCTCGGGTTCGAGGTCCCTGGAGTTGAAGAACATGACATCAGTTAGGGAATAGATTTTATGGCATTAGACATAAAGGATGAGGGAAAAGTGCTGATATTTGGTTCTGTGAAAGCAACTCACCTTATTTTCCTGACCAACCTCAAATGTGATGGCTTTAAACAGCTGCAGGGACACAAACATACAACACCGTAAAGTAATCGTAATGATAAATAGTTCACAGAAACACATTTTAAAAAACTGCTGGCGCACTAGCTGAAAACTATACAATGTAGTAACCTTAGCTGACCTTATAGAGGATCTGTGGCAGGAAGTGCGGTCTTCGTGTGGCAAAAGGGAAGAGGGCAGAGACGTTGGTGAGCACACAGGACAAGATGAGTGGGTCTTTGGTGTCGTAGTTCAGCACAGCCTGCAGCAACTCCATGCTCTGATCTATGGGCAACCTCTACAAAGTAAGAAGCAGAAGGAGGGGGCAAACCTTCACATCATTACAATCAACATTGTTTTTCCCCCAACAGTTTTGTTCTGTTACTTGAAATTGCTCCTGTTACCTCCTCATCCAGATTTTTGAAGATCTGTGCGACCATACACTCCATGAAGACAGTCATTGCATCCCACTGGACCACTGATGGAGACAGGAGGGAGCACAGGCCCTCAGCAGTCTTAGCTAATGAGGCGCAGAAAGAGAAGATAAGTTAATTTGTTACATTGATGACCACCACATGTGAATGTAACACAAATTACACATTTTGCTCATGCATACATGTTCCTATGTATGAGACTGTTGCACCTGAGTGGACTGTGGGGCTTGTTAGTTAAGTTAATTCCATACTGCTGCGTATTTTACATGTTAAATTACCCACATACACCACAAATGTACAAAAAAAATCTTCCCCAGCAGAGAACCAAAACCCATCTATGAGGAGTAATCAATCCCCCTTTCTTTGGTGCTGTGTCAGTGTGTTAAGAATGAGGACAAACACTTACATGTGGTATCTCCAGTATCAATAGGGCTGGCGATTTGATACTGTAACCACTCTGCTGCTATCTGGAAAGCCTCCAGAGGAACAATGCGACATGCACTCCTCACCACCTCTCCCTGCTGCGCTCGAAAAGCTGTTAAGCATGAACATACACCATATAAAAACAGCAACAGATACGATAGAGAGAACAGATCTTACGTGAAGTAAAGCTGAATCCACTTACAATTAAAGAACGAATTGAAGTCCTCGTCGCTGTCAAAGTCCACACGGGAGTACTCGCAACTGGGGTTATCGTCTCTCGATGGGAATCCGGTCTGGAGGAAAAGACAGAACCTTTAGTAAAACCCTGTTTGGCTTCAAAGTGCGCAAGGAATGGTAGCACTGATATCACTGTCTCACCTTGACTAGGTTGATCATAGACGCTCTGAGGTATTTTATAGTCATCTCCACAACAACCGGGTCCTTTGACAGAGTCTCATGTCTGAACAAAGATCCCCAAGTGGCCAAAGTGGACGACTTCAGAAACTGTAGAGGAAAAAAAATAAAAATCACAGGAGATCAAACACAGATGAAGGATTCATATTCATATACTACTCGTTCAAATGCAGTTTCAAACAAGATCTTTTGAGCGGTCTTCTCACCTGACTGGAATGTGTAGTGAAGGCTAAAAAGGCCTCCATGTACTTGCTGAGATTTGCAGGTACCTCGACCTCTACATCTGAACCCTGTGGAGAGAACATGACATTAGAAAGTGTAAACTGCTACAACATGCTTCTGTCATTTTACATAACGTGCGTGTGTGGACCAAGACAAAAGACTATGTGAACAAATGATGTGTGGCCAAATTAGGATAAACCCACCACTAATGAGCAGAGCTGGCTTCCCAGAGCACACAGGACCTGACACAGCCTCTTCAGGAAGATGTAACGCCGCTCCACCACCTCCACTGCTCTAAAAGAAAAAGAGAAAAAAAAAAAGGTACCACACACACACACACACACACACACACACACACACACACACACACACACACACACACACACACACACACACACACACACGGAAGGACTATAAGTCCTAGCCAGATGTACAGAACAAATGTGTTTTTATGACTGTCTATGTGCTCCACAGTGGGCAGGTATGTCACTTTACTTACTGTGATTCAGAAGATTTCTTACATATTGCCAGTCCATCTGCTGACCTGTAACCAGACCAACACAAACCATTCAATCACAGTGTGACAATGATTGGTTGAGGCCCGTAAACAGGGGTGATGGAGAGAAGCAGTTATACTTACTGGGCTGCAGAAAGGATGTAGTGGATGGCCACATCATCAAACAGCAGCATGAATGGCTTCCTATCCTCCAGCTTGCCCTGTGGCAGAGTAACAATGGATTACACAGGGATTATTATTGTTCATTTAATGTCAATATCCACTAACTGTCTAGGTTGTAACTGAGCATACTGTAGCATGATCTGATCTGCAGTTTCTACAACTCATGATAAGTCAGGTTCATATTCCAACTAGAAAGCACTCAGAGAGCACATACTACCACCAAGGTTATTTTATATTTTTAAAGATCTGCAATCCGTATCAGCATCTCATACACACAGTGAAAGACAGTTATGCTGATAATGATGGACATAATTTTTAGAGAATACCTAATTCCTTTTCCTGGAAATATTAGGGATTGTACAGGGATGATCAGCAACATTTTACAGTCAGACTCATGACTTATAGCCATTTAAATTATGACGAAGCAATCAATGAGTTTCTGTCAGACTTTGCAAGAACTCTCAGAGTTAATGTGGGCACACTTCATCTAAATGTGCTTACAACAGCACAATGCATTCAAGAGTCAAGCCAATTGATGTCAAATAAGCGAAGTACACACACACACACACATCTAAAACCATACAATATATCAGTACATTCAATATGCTGACTTTGTTGATGAATTGATGAAGTTTATAAGAGTAGTCGTGAAAAGAAAAAATGCTAAATTGATAGGTTTGTCTAGGAATTTACAGAAAAAGACTCTACACTCTTCTACTACTCTTCTACACCTCTCAGTTCGGGACTTAAGAGCCAAGATAAGTGTATTATAAATAGCCACATGGTAGCGCTATTGCTACAGCTCTGCACCACTTCTTTCCACGACCATGGCCTAGCTTTTCAACAAATTCCATTAAAGTCTGGTATGGTGTTTTGAAGTTATAATACATTAGTAACTATTGAACAAAAAAAATTAGACTGAAAGAATAATCTCTTTACAGCTACTGGGCTGTGTGTTTTCCCTCTGATTCACCTTTCGGCTGATAGCGATGAGGAGACACTCGGCTGCCTCCAGCTGCAGCTCCGGTTCACTTAGCAACAAACACAACATCTCCAGCAAGTGACAGTTTCCAGAGGTAATGTGCACGAGAGACACCCAGTCTATGTAGCCTGCAAGTGTATTCAAGGTAGCCACAGCGACTCGACAGTGAGCTTTGGCCTGTGGGTGGAAAAATGAAGGACAGAAAGGGGAAAAGGGAGGGAAGAGAATGATAAAGTAATCAAAGTAATTCAGTTCATAAGAGGTTCATTGCAGTGATGTTTTCTCACCTGTAGTTCATGTCCGGGTGACGCTTTCTGGATTAAAAAAAACAAATCAGACAAAGATTATAGTACCTTGACTGTCCAATAAATAAAATAACCATGATAATACTGAGAAATTAATATAAAAGCTTCTCATTTCTATAAAATAAAAGTTAAGACCCCACTGACCACTTTACGGTAGTCCTCGACATTAACGTGCAGAATGGCCATCATGAAGCTGAAGATGCTTTCCATGTTTTGAGTTAGGGTCTGCTGGATGTCTCTGCGTCGCTGGGTGGGCAGCGTCTGGAACGTGATCACATCCTCCGCCAGCCTCAACAGGATCAACATCACCAGCTCTGTCTGTGCTTCCTTTGAAAAGGCACAAGTGAATTTAGGTTAGATTTAATTTGTTTAAAAAGTTTATGACAACTGGATTAAAAGGGGCTGCATCTTTTGTTTGCTCAGAACGGTCAAGAATATAGTTTGCACCGATTAAAATAAACAAGTGGAAAAGATGTTGTCTAGGTTCACAGATGCTGACAAATGACGATATCTACCAGGAGCCAAGTTTACATGATGACGCCTTATGAAAATTAATATGACTCATCCTCGAATGGTACTCATTTGCATGCAAGTTATTACATAATCCTATTCAAATTGCATGCAAGCTATGGGAGGCGATGGAAACCACTGATATGCAGCAACAGACCCGTTTTCTGTACATTAAAAGTTACTCACCCCTTGGCTAGTGAGAGCCTCCATCTCTTTGAGCATATCTGGCCAATGTTGAGGCCATTCTCTCTTTATCATTTCCACTATGATTCGTGACAGGACATCTTTGATGTGGCTCTCCTCCTCCAGGATAGAATGAGTACCCTGACGAGACCCAAAAACAGGTATCAGATAAGTGTTTACAGCTATAACAGCAAGACAGACTTTAAAGTTTCATTTGAAGCGTAACACAGTCACTATGTTGTTAACAGCCTTTTTTTTTTTTTTTTTTTTACGATCACACTTACATTTGATAACAACTGCATGGCACACTCCTTCAACTGGACCTTCTCTTGTTGTTGCATATTGTTCCATCTGAACCTGCAAGAAAGAAACAAGTGTTCTTTCAAATATGCAGCTTTTTATGATGTAATTATTTCTTATGCTTGATTTATATGTAGTTATGTTGCACTCACTTGACGACCTGCTCCAGAATTTGCAACCCAAAGTGTCTCACTACAGCTGGCTGGGCTTTATCAGCCAACTGCAAGCCACATGGTACACAGAAGGAGCTGGTCTCTTTAAACTCCTCACAAAACTGAAAAGAAATTAAAAAATAGAGCTTGTTATATTAAAAGGCACACTACTACATAAACTCACATTTTAAAAAGGTTTAAAAACGCTACCTAAATTAACTTAACATTGCCGTATACATGTACTGTATCAGCTTCAGCAACAGCTGCTTCAGCAACATCACAAAACACACTCACATAGCACAAAGCTAACCTACCAACTAGCCCTTCAAGGTAGGTGCAACGCTTCAAACAGCAACAGCCCGAAATAAAGTCGAGCTCTGCCTCACACAGACACTCACAGCACCATCAGTACCAAACCAGAGGTTACCATTTCTATGAATGAATGAATGAATGACGCGTGAGTCGGCAGTGGATGTGGTGCTGAGGTGTGATCCATCATGCCATACCGGCTAGCTCGCAAGAGCATCTGGCTATCATCACTTTAGCTAACGTTAGCTAACGTAAACAAACGCTGCGAGGAGTGATGTCACTGCCAGCCCCAAACGCAGACAAACATAAACAATAAAAACTGACATTTTATTTCGCCACAACAGACAACTTGATTTCCACTTTCACAACAGCCCCAATAGATGACAAGCTCGGCTAACTAGCAGCTAGCTAGCAGCCCATAACGGTGCTACCTTCAGGGCCTCCAGTCGGTAAATCTGGTTTGTTTCTGCGTCCATCATCACGTTCACAGCTTTGATGAGCTGCTCACACATGGCAGCCACCTGGTCGGCCATGACTTCAGGTAGCGTCTGGCACACTGTGAAGGAGAAAGCGAGGGGCTCCCTTATGCAAAACACCTGCACCACAGTGAGCTGCGTATGCTTAGGGAGGCACCAACGTGCACAAAATGTGCTGCCTGCGCGTTTCAGCCTTCGGCTCGCCGTTGAATGGGAATTCTGGGAGTTGTAGTCGAGGCGCCATTTTTTTTTTTTTTTTAATGATCGTCTATGTGCTGAAAGAGAGATCACTTTTGAGATAAAAACATGTGTGACTTTTTTATTTTATGTCTTCTTTTATTATTATTGTTGTAGTCTCTGGGGTTTGGGGGGCTGTTTGTTTGTTTGTTTGTTTGTTTGTTTGTTTGTTTGTTGTTGTTTTTGGTTCATTAGTAATATGCATATTTAAGTTGTATTATTATTATTATTATTATTATTATTATTATTATTAAGTTCTGTATATTGAAACTGAATTGTAAAGTGAGCATCTGTCAATAAAAACAAATTTGAAACATGTCTGACTTAATTTTATTTATTTAATATTGAATGCTTTGGGTTTTTTTCCTAATTGTAGTCACTCCAGCCTGGATAAAGGTAAAACTAGTAACATTACTATCCATCTGCTGTGGCTCATCACAGAATGATGATTTTTTTTTGTCCTCTATCATTTGCTCTGAAATTACTTTAGAAAGGAATCTCTTCATGGCCAGTAAGATAAGATAAGATAAGATGTACCTTTATTGATCCCCCTTGGGAGAAATTCGAAGTGCAAGAAAGAGTACAGATGTGGAGGTACAACAAGATATCACAAAATAAAATAGTACAAAATATAATTGAAAATATAAATAAATGAAAGTATATACACTATGCAATATTGAAGTAAGAATGGTGTGCAAATATTTGAGCACCTTGACTAAAACTAAACTGTTAAAATTCAATATAAATAGTTATTAATAGTTGTGCAAAAAGTTTGTGCGAGTTGTGGAGTCTGATGGAAGATGGTACAAATGAGCCTCCATCATCTGTGATACAGTCGACAAAGGAAGAGTCATCAGAGAACTTTTGTAGGTGGCACGATCCAGAGTTAAAACAGAAATCTGAGGTGTAGAGGAGAGATATGGATGCTCTGCACCATTAAACTGAGCCATTAGGATATAATAGACATATATATATATATATATATATATATTACATATTTTATAATGGCTCTGCTTGTACAGAAACCCCTTCAAAATAATAACGGATGACATGTAATCAGGAAACAAACAAGGCAACTGTAATCCATTACAGGTAAAAAATGAGATTATTTAGCAGTATTACAATTTTAAAATATATATATGTATATTAAATATACTGAGCAGATGACCCACATTTGAATCTTTCCATTTTCCATTTTATTTGCAAAAGTTCAATTTATGTCTGCTATCTTATAAGAATATTTTGGTTTTACATATTTGGTATTGAGGTAATCCAAAAGTAACAGAACGTATGTCACTTGGATTAGGTTACGAGCTATATTTTCTTAACAAGTAATTAGTAAATGTATCGGATTACATTGTTAAAGTAACCCTCCCCAACCCTGGTTAATTGTTTGACAACTCATAATGAATGAATCCGTAACGTGAACCCTATCGAGCTGCTGCTCCCCATAACTCCGCCCACTTCAACTTTAGCTTTCAACTTGTCAAAAACGAGCGGAGTGAGACCTCTTACTTTTCTCCGCTTCACCTCACGGTTGGTCTCTATACTTTTAATGTGAGTTTAATTTGCTGCTTGTTGTCCAACTGAACAACCTGGCCGTAGATTTATTATTTTTTTTAATTACTTCTATTTCCTACAAGTTAGCGAAAAGGGTACGTTTGATTTTGGGGGTGTTTTCTGTTCCCAAAACGAGGCGGAGCTTAAATTCCAAAGTGGACTGTGAGTTTCCTCCCGATACGTCACTCTGGGATAGGCTGCGAGCTGTCGAGCAACACTGTCAGTCAGCGGGGTTTCGGGCTGGTTATCAACGCGTCCTCGGGTAAGAAAAACCTGGAAAATATCAGACAAAATGTCGTCCGTAGGTTTATAATTAATGTTAACGGTAGTTTGCTCAGGGAACGGTTAGAATTCATCCGTAGTTCCTAACCGTTACAAAGTTCTACGCGATGCTCACACAACTACAACGGAAACTTTTTGTCGTGAAGGCCTTGTTATTTGTTGCAACAGGTCCACGACACGGGATGAATAAACATTACTGTGTTTTAATTCTTGGTGGGAAAATGTTTATGTTTTATGAAACTACGACATGCTGTGTGTGTTTTTAATGCAGAACGGGACCCGCCAGGCAGGAGGAGAAAGTAGCCGTACCCAACCGCGGGTTGAGGCTCTGGGATTAAAGTGATCGCCAGTCCCGCAGCTTTTTTTCGTCGAAACTGCCTGTGGGGATTCATGCTGTGTTGGTTAGCTAAATGCGGTACGAAGCTAAAATGATGCCGGTGAGTTCGTTGTTTTTACTCATTTACCTAACAAGTTTCAACGCTGTCCTGTAGTTTTAATATATCTGTTTCCTGTTATTTTTAAAAGACATGTATCGTCGGCGCTAAGCCCTGCAATGTGTTACCTGGGCATTTAAATTGACGTGGCAAGTTGATGCGGTTGTTACTTTGTGCCATTACTATGGCAGCACAGGTTTTCTGTTGTGAAGTTTAATATCTGGGATAGCTATATATATATATATATGTGTGTGTGTGTGTGTGTGTGTGTGTGTGTGGTTATAAGTCACGTCATTTATTTGCTTTCTGGGATATTGTCCTCCCTGCACACACGGTTACATGGCGTGTAAACCAGTCAAGGTCCCCTGCGTCAAAATGCCTAGTTACATCTCTATGTTCAGTTATGAGTAAGCTGACATTTACCTGCCAAGATAGTCTTTTAACTTTTAACTGTAACTGCATGTATTTATTTATTAATTCTATACAATTGTTAGTATATGCACATCCATCCTGCAGAAGGCACATGCCAAGTCTGGCTGTCAAACTCCCTGCTTTGGACTCATGCCATATCAAAACCATCATTATCATCACCATCCTCATCATCATTATCATCATCAAAGGTCCATAGCTTCTGCTGCAGTGCAAGGCTCTATGTCTCAGCACTTCTTTGATATGTTGGTGAGGGCAGCAGCTCACTGTATATAAATAACCACCCAAACAAATAGAGATTAAGATGCTTTTAATTAAGTGATTTTTTTTTTTAAAATGATGCAGTGTTACTTCTCTGCACTAAAGGATCAAAGTTCGAAGAAGTGATGGCTGGATTTGTAGCTAGTAAGCCTTTAACCCAGCTAAAATCTGTGTCTAGAATTTATTTACCAGAGATTATCATGGCAAATGGGGGCAGCAATTAACAAATGTTTTCATTTGTGAGTCATCGTTATTTCAAGAAAATGTTACTTCAGTGCCTACAATTTCTCAGAGCTCAAGGTGACCTGGTAAAACTGCTCATTTTGTTGAACCATCATAAAGATATATTCATTTTAGAATATGAAATGGGGAAAAAAACTGCAAATCATCACATTTTAGAAGCTGGAACCTCATATTTTTACCACTCTGCATGGTAATTGACTTAAATTATGAATCCGTTATCAAAATAGTCGCAGCTTAATTATCTGTTGATCCTTGTTTAATAAACTAATCATTTGGGAATGAAGCCATTTCAGCACTAGTTGCCAGGACGTTTAGTTGTTGAGGAAAGCACAGTCACCATCGCAACATTAATACAGTAATATTCAGTGTTTTGCCTCAGCTTCTCAGGTTAAACTCTGGCCCCCGTTTGTCTTTGTTAAACAAAAATGTAAAATCACACAGTTACACTTTGTTTACAGCAACGTTAACAGCTAATGAATAATTTAGAGTAATCCTCTGCGGAAGTATGCTCATGTTCTGCTGCTTCCAGTAAATCAGCTTGATCAGTGAATTAATCATCTTAGCTGTGGAGACCGAGTCGTATTTGGACGACTCCTGTCTGGCGCATGACCTCAGTCTGCTACTGACATACTGTCATTTGTTATCACCAAGCCCCGTTCTTGTGGACACAGATATAAATTGTCACCCGTACATGTTTTCATACAAGATCTGTTTCTTCATAGGCCACGTGAGACCTTGGTAACTGCCCCCCTTACCTCGATTCTGTCACCCGAGAATATATATGTGTGTGTGTTTTGGTGTGTTTGAATGAGATACAGCTTCTGGCATTCGCCTGATAAACACAAAATGGCCTCTATATAGCCCGTCTGATGCAAGTTATTGTCTTAGGAATTACACCCGTAGCCCATGACCCTGCTTGTACAGGCCAGGGGCTCGGGGGTGGTGAGAATGTAGTGTCGTAATTGCTGGCTGGGATGGTAAATAGGGGGTCACTGTTTCCTGAACACAATGAGCTGTAGGGACTCTTTAACAGCGTGTTGTGGAGAGCACATTGTGTGTGTGCCTGTGCTGTGGCAGCACCCTGATAAGGGATGCTTACCCTTTTATTGAACCATAGCATGGTATAACTCATTTACCCCTGATTTATTGCTATCTCCACTTAAACCAGTCTTAATGCCACATGAATTCTCTGCTGTTTGTTTTAGCCCATATCTCGTTTTGGTGCTTTTTGCGAAGATAAATCATAGTCAATAAATAAGTAAAAAGGTGTTAACTGCTCTCGGGATGGGGGCGTAAAAGTTTTCGCATTGTTTTGGATTTTCAGTGTTGCAGGCTCAAATACCACATCACTTCCTCATTCCTCTCCCATGACACAAGCTGCTTGCTGTGTAGATTTTCAAGCAGATAAACTTTTATTTTTTGTGCCGGGTCTGCATTATTTAGCTTTTCATTCTCTGACCACACACATTTGTAGCAGGTCTCTGTTACACCGCAACAAATCTCACTGTTGCTAGACTTTGTGGCAGTGTTATGATGGTGGGAAAATGAGGTGATGCTCTGGGAAGCCTGATTTCGCTGTGTGTGTCAACAGAAACCTGAGTAGGCTTTCTCTGTGGCCACTACAGGCTTTGTGTTTTTACTCTGTGGGAGAGTGTGTGGTGGTTGCGTAAGCAGACAGTCACATCAGTGATAGACAAGGACATTCAAGGGTAATGTTTAGACTTTTATGTGAAGA